ATGCATCCAAGCAAAGCGGTGACCTAGCAACACTATTTTACTCGAAAAATAAGTACGGTACGATTTCGCATTCGCCATACCCCTTTTGCCTCCTTTTGAGAGAGTAAAATTTAAAAATTTCTGCGACAGCATGACCCTAGATACCTCAAAACTGTTAGTCTACGAAAAAGCGTTTTGGTTTCTAACGAGATTGCAGACAATTCATCAGTAGCAAATGCTGACAAGGTTGAACTGCATGAATTCACTGCCACAAAATTCTTTGGAAGCAGGGCAAGTAATGTCCCCCCCCCCAACACCACCATCAAAACGTTTCCCGTACGCCTCTGGGTTTTCCCCATCATTACATCATTTGTCAGAAGGAATCAATATAAATATTGAAATGCATTCATGTTCAGACTCGTAAGATATTAATATTAGTTGTCAACAAACACGAAAATTTGCTCATCGTTCTAAGGAAGACGTTTTATGGCATCTTTTAGATGCAATTCGTCTCCGTCAGATCCGTATTTAAAGTTAGCTTCCCAAATAAAGGATGAATTCAAATCGATTGAATCTACTGCCAATCTGGCTTTCGAGGCGAAACTCAGATGGGCCGAAGAATTAGAACGAATTGTTGTCAAACGAGTTCTGCCGGGAAGCAGGCTCATATTGGTCGGGTCGTCGACAAATATGTTTGGCTTTAAGCACAGTGACTGCGATTTAACTGTGGTGACCAAAGACAGATTTGTGTCGGAGATGGAATGTCTAAGAAAGATCGAATCTGCTCTGAAACCTCACCGGAGTCGATTTGATGTTGAGGTAAGGTCATTATCTATACATCTATTATGTACCTCCCTATGTTTTTATCTATCTATATCAATCAATCAATATATATTTATCTATGTATCTCCCTATCTATATAAATTCGTATACTGATATAGTTATATATCGATTAATTGCTAGACATTGATTTCACACTTAATCGGCGCTTCTCAACGCAGCACTTTCCCTTTCACTTTCAGGAAATAAGGTGGGGATCTACCTAAACTTGCAATATTCCGGTTGACCACATTTGCAAGCCTATTACTCGCCAAGTTTGTTAGATAGCTATACAAAACTGTATATCATTAGAAAGCTTATTTAACATAGATTCTAAAAATACTAAGGTCTTTCTCATACCTGTAATATTTATCCTGCCATCTAGTAATTAAACACAGTGTCTGTACGTCTCATACAAATCACTGTTAGTTGAGAAAAAATACAGCCTTACCATTTTAATCAAATTTTACCACTAAGAGGCTATTTGTTGACTACAAAGCAAATAAATTAAAAATAAGTAGATTGTTTTGAGCGATGGAATTTTTTATGCTGCATGTAGTTTTTGCACAGCATTGCTCCAAAATTTTGGTTCGATTTTCTTCCAAAAATCCTGGCATATTTCCTCGATAAAATGGCAGCAATACAACATATGATATTTTTCTGTGTTGGTATTGTGTACTCAGGTGAATAATATGATGCTTGTGATGTTACTCTGAGTGTATATCCACACGTGTATATCCACACGGTGTCACAGGAGATTCGCCCCCCCCCAGGAGATTCCTAGGATATTTGCCACCCCCCCCCGGGGGCGAATCTCCTAGGAATATCGCCCCCCTGGGGGGCGAATCTCCTAGGAATATCGCCCCCCTTTAGGAATTTCGCCCCCCCATATAAATTTTGATTTTTTTATCTAAAAACAAAACGATTGCAAGTTGAAAAAATTTATTGTGTGATTTATTTATTTATTACAAGGAGACAAAATTACATACACATTTTAGGCTTCTCAGCAGCTGGTGGTGTGCACAGTCAGCATAACCACTCATTTGAGGTGCTTAGACTAGTGTCATATTCTACACATCTAAAGTGGAACCATCACAGAGATCGTATTCTTCTGGCAGTTTACATTCACATAACATATTATAAAAATAGGTACGCGACGCGTACATGTATCTGCGAAAAAACTTGATTCACATTTTGTATTTTCTTGAAAGAAACTGAATAATGTAGATGGCATGGGACAATTGATATATTTCATCACTTATTGTAATGGCAGATAAGATTTAAAACAGGGCTGTACACAGCGGGGAGTGCAGCAGGGCAAATGCTACCCCCGCCCCCGCACCGAGAAAATTTCACTAACTTTATAATGTGATTATGATTGTAACAGATAATTATGCAGTCAGGAAATAAAAATTTCATGCAAACTATATTCAAAGTGTCTATACAGCAGGCTATTTAGTAAACTGTCACCTGTCAATTCAATCCATACTCATCAAATTTTCAAAACTTTATTGTAATCATATGAAGCAAAAGTTATGTCACTTGTTGTTTACACTTGCCAATGTTAACTGTTGAGTAACATACACAAAATATTTGGTGAACATGTCGAAGACCACTGATCATGAATAATTAAGAATGTTTTGAAGGTCATGAGTGAAGTATATAATTAAATTCCAGTTCTGTGCACAGTTAATGATATACCACACTGTTCGGTTTAACACGTACAGCACATTCACACAAAAACAATTGTGTTGTGGGAGATCATCGGTTTGAGTAGAAGGTATCACAAGTTTAGTTTTGTACATCGTGTGCCATTGATCAAATCCACCATATAATATATGATTACTCATTGTAGCTGTTAAATTATTTTCCATACTAATGAATTTAACAAATTATCCAGCCAATATCCAGTACATTTATTCTTCATTCTTGTATTAATCTCTAAAGAAAAATATTGATGTTAGAAAGCAAAATGACAATGTAATGAGGTGAGGATTCTTTTATTTGAAAATGTTTGTAAAAAGTTTGTTTAATTAACTCTAAATTATGTGTAAATTACTGTAAAACCAAAATATATAAGTATTTTAGCTGATAACATCTTCAACCTTTGCTCTAACACTACATTTGATGACAGCTTTATAGTTGGACTGTTGTTTTGAACAGAGTTATGGAGTCAATATACAGAAATACAGGACCAGGATTTAATTCAATATCTCCTGAGAATGTTTTCACTGTTTAAAATATTACAGAAGTCACAGAAGGATTGTTTTTAATACTGTCTAAATCTTTTTGTGAACTATGTTGATAAATGGCTAAAAATATCCTCGAAAATATCCAATATTTTATACAGTGTAATATATTAATAAAAAAATTCCATAGTGCATTCCATGTAAACTCTACGCCGAAGATACGGCAATATTAACTATAGATAGTAAAGTAAATATTTGCCGAACTCGTGTATTATAAAATATGTGGGACATATTTATTTGCACAAATTTGGTATTTAAATATATAATATGTGGTATTTGACTACTTACCAGATGAGGATAAGATTCCATGTTGATAAATAACTTCGGAATAAAAAAAAGACAGCCAATTCAGGATAAATTGATAAAAACATCAAGACATTTTTGAACCAATAACACGATTTATACACGCGTCAGAGGAGGTTGCAGTGCTTCCATTTTCAAAATCAAAATTTCTCATTTTTGTCATCAAAATTTCTCTAAATTCCTTAGATTGTATACGTTATTTCCTTGAAAATTCCTTGAAATTTCATTAGGCGGTTTGCAGACCTTTGCAGTGCTTTTGTAGCAATACAAAGGATTTAATCAATTTTAAAGGCACAAAATAGCACAATTAACAAAGATAATTGCTAGCTAAAAAACCACAGGCTATTATACTGTTTAAAATTAAATATTTGTTCAGTGAGTTTACAACATATACCTTTCCATTGATATAAATAATTAATTCACAGCGTTTGGCGCCAAAAGATACCAAATCCTGTCGCTCAAAAACTTTCGGAAGTTTTCGGAAACACGAGGAAAAAGTTAAAACCAGATTTTTAATTGAACATAATTGATAATTCACTCAAAAATTCAAGAAATAGCGAAACATTCTTCTGCACTAATGCACTTGGATGAATATTTAAGTTGTTGGGAAAAAATCCTTAGATTTCCTTAGATTTTTTCTCTTCCTTAGATTTTCCTTTTCGACACTAGAATTTCTTTAGAAAAGGAAATTTCCTTGAAAATGGAAGCACTGGGAGGTTGGACAGCTAATTAGCGAGTTGTCACGTGAGCTCTCGACCAATGAGATCGCTCTATTTTCCATCGTGTTATCTGCAGAATTTGGACAGAAAAATTTGCATTCGACGGAAAATAAATCGGAAAAAAATATTAATATTAAAATTTTCTTGCAAAATCTCAAGTGTTGTAGTACTACTACTAAAGATCTGGCGATATCTGCAAAAATCTCTGAGGTAAACTTTATTTTCAATGTTATTTTGATGTTTGAAGTTAGTCGACTCCCCGCGACGTGTTGACTCAAGTCTAAATATGTTTATGATGTTTAAAATGAAATATCTAGAATTCCCATGGTTCGATTTTCTTCATTTTTGGTAGTCGTCAAGAAAAATATATAAGCTTTAAATCTGCTGGAATGATCCCGGTGTCAAGCGAAATTCCTGACCTCTGCTAAATACCTGACCTAGCGTGACGGGTCAGAAATTTCGCGCGTACAGGCGCGAAATACATGACGCTTGCTAAATTCTAAGTCGGCTAAAACTGTTTTTTAGAGTTTAGATAAAATAATCATGATGTTAATTTCTAATACTTCGTTAAATATTTCAAATCGACATCGCTAAGTTTCAATCACAAACACTTTAAATTTCAAAGCGAATTGTGTGGTCGTGACAGCGAAATACACGACGTTTGCTAAA